CTGATAAGACGAGCGGACGAGACGACGGTGAGTTAAACAAGGTTTATGTACAGCATATTTACAGAGGCGTTACAATTTCGGCACTGGGGCCGACAGAGACTCGAAGAGCCGAGCTCTTCTCTCTAACACATAGGTCAGTCTTTCGCCTAAGACCGCTGACTCACACACATGTCGGCACTCCGACACGGGGACGCCTCTCACATAGGACCGCCGATCGCGACGCGCCGCAGGGCTTCTTTTATTTACACCGGGTCCATCCAAAATGTCCAATCAGAAGCGCCGCTGGTCGTCAGCGCAGATTCCGCCAATGGGGCCGCCGCGCCATGCGTCAGACCACCTGACACGAGGACGCCGGCTCGCTGTCACGTGCGCAACTGACTCACTGCACGTGGGCCAGAGGAGCGCCGCGCGTGTTCACGCCGTCGAGGTGATCGCGCCAGGCAGACTGCGGGCTGGCCTTGACCCAGATTGCCTTTTTCAGAGGCACGGTCGTTTGACGAGGACTCGCTGGCATAACAGCTCACAAGTCGGTCGCTTCGCCCAGCTACGTAGAAGAAGTCGACTGAACTGATCGGTGCCATTTGTCGATCGGCGCATCTCACGTTCCGATTGCGAACCGCCTCGGGAGCTGGTGACTCCGAGCCGGAGGACCGGAGCGGCCAACCGAATACGCAATTAATTTAACGTACGTGTACAGAGTCATCCGCATCTTAGGTGAACGCCATGCCTCATTTGTATTGAATATCGCACAGAGGCGGCTGTTTAGTATATACTTCTAAAGGTTAATAACTTATGGACACGACAATTGGACGCCAGAAACATGGACTGCTCGGCGACGATAATTCTTCACAGAAAGGTGCAGTAACACAAGCGGAACATTCGTTGCTTCGTGTCCTTGTTCCATCCTCTTCTGGAAATATTCCTTTGTGCACCGCCGTTCTAAGATTAGATGTCACGCAACGGACATTTCCGTCATGTACTAGGATAAACTTTCAAGTTGTTACGGACTCGATTAGAATTGGAGTGTTCACCTTAGGTGTGTTCAACGCTGTACACGGTGATTGAAAGAGCAAAAGGGCTCGTTAACAGATAAATAAATAAATAAATAAATAAATAAATAAAATATTAAATAAGTGCCAGATCAAGATCTTTCGTGAAAATTCGGGAATAAAGAACGCGTGCCACATTTTGCAATCTGGATTTCAAAATTACAATAACAATTAGCAATTAGAAAAAGAAAGCGAATTACCAATAGTTAGCAACTTTAATTGTGCATATTTTAACCGATGTTAAATTTTATTTCGATATTTGAAGCAGCACGACATGTAACACAGGTATGGACGCTTTGTTTTTCAGAATGTAAAAAAAAAAATCATGAGTAAGCTTCCTTTCACTTTGGCCTATAGGCAGGTCACACTCATGCGAATTTAAAGTGGCATGTTATGACCCGTGTCCGGACGCTACCCGTGTTTTCGCATGCCTAATAAGTCTGAGAAAACAGACTTCTTTGATAGTTGGTTTGTTACTTTCAGTGAAGTCGTAGCGCTGACAAGACACGGACCAAAGCGTGCACGTTCTGTCCTCTTTCTTTGGTCCACGTCTTATGAGTGCTATAGCTTCATTGTAAGTAATCTGAATCAGAATGAAAAGCATAAAATCTTCTTGATATTCCCACTAAAGAATGACGTTGGCAAAAGGATGAACCGATACCTACTGGCCTTATTTCCAAACGCAACAATTTCTTTAGGTTATTTAATCCAGCAGGTCATACCTCGTCAGGTGCGACAATACGCGCGGCAGCAATGACGAAGTTTTTTTTTCTTTTTTTAAGGGTAATCACATGCATAAACCTGCATTCGAGTTCTTGTTTTTTTTTGTTTTTGTTTTTCAATCCGTGTTTAGTTTTTTATAGAAGTCATAATTCCTAGACTGTCACAAAAGAAAATCATCGAAAGCGAATTTTATGCGTAGTAAATTTGTGTTAATTAGAAATCTAGCGTATAAGTTTTCGTGTCGAAGAATAAGATGTCTTTGGCAGGTGATCTAATGCTCACGTGTTAGCATTGTCTGCTTGAGGAACATTACACATTCGCCAGCACTTGCCATTATTTAGCCATCATTTGCATTCACGGGCCATCACTGAGCACTACTGCAGGCATATATACTTGGCCCCTTCAGATTATCTTAATGCTTGTCCCCCCCCCCCCCCCCATACACCTTGGCATTCCATGAAAGATTTTTGAAAGTGTTTTTTATTGCTGTAAATGAATCGCTTAATGGTAGGGCTGGTTTACTAGCCAACAGTTTGACCGTGTAGTCAGCCAACAATAGCCGCTGGTTAGCCAGTGCTAATCAGCATTTCTATTACGCGATGAAAACTCATTATAGGATCCGCCGAAGATGACTCACAGGTGACCACCATCAACTTTTCCTCTCATTCGAGTGTATTATTCCTCCGTCAAAAGCTTTTTCACCACTCGCTGGTGTCGAGCTGCCTCTGGCATCGGCCCGTAATCGACCAAACTACGGTGTCATGTTTACGTCATTACATGACGACGTAATGAGGTCACAAATGTTGGTGATTTGAGACTCCATGCCACATTGCGATCGTGAGATGTTCAGTATATGCCGATGAATACGCTTTCGGTGACTTGAACGTCACGTCTCTTGCAAGCAACTTTTATTTGTTTTTTGCTCTCTCTCTTTCTTTCGGCACTCGTGTTGAACCCACTACCTGCATTGTCTAATGAAGTGTCGTCGAGTATTTCCGAATCTTGCAAAGCCTCTTGTCTTCCCAGACGTATATGACGCTTTCACCTTGATACACAACTCACGGAATGTCGATGAAGAGGTTTAGAGAGAATGTCTACACGCTACTGTATTCAAATGAGGATTGTATGCTTCGTGTCTCATCCAGCCGACGATAGGGCGGCTGTGATGGCGTTAGGCTACTCTATTTCATACACCATGACATGGTTGGTAAAGAGAGAAAAAAATAAGCATTGAATCCTCATTAAAGTCCAGAACAGGCCGACCGCGATTTCAAAAAACATTCATGGCAGAATAAACGTATAAATAATTTGAATCTTTTTCATGGAAAATGACCGCTCCGCCCTCGAACGCAGTTTCAGAATACCTGGAGAAGGAATTGATGTACAAACAACGGAAGTATATTGTACTGTCATCGGTTGTTGTGGATTCCTTGAATGCGCAGGGTTTTGCACGGCAAGAAAAAGGCGTCTGGGAGGAAGAGTCTATCGTTGAACAGTGAAATTAGATTGACTTTTCCCATCTCCGGTGTCAAGTCAAAGGGTGTGTATTCTTATGCTTACGGAGGGAGGTTACCGTTCACTTTTTGTCCTATCGCCTTATGTTAGCCTTTATTTTTTTTTAACTTCGTGTAAGGAGATGTTGGCGCACAAATTAGGCGCCGGTTATTCCTCGCCCTTCAGGGGTACCTCACATAAAGCACGCAGGGTTAAATTCTACAAGCATAAGAAGTGCACAACCCACACGATATACAACTATAACAACACAATGTGCAAGATATATCAATCAGCACTTGAGATTTATAAACAATGTATTGAACAAGCTCCTATATGTGCATATGCGTTGATGTTAACAAACTGAAGACCAACCAATGCATACAGTCCACAGTCACACAATTGTCAACATTATAGTCTACAGTCACATAAATATGGTCGTCACGCAAAAAAAAAAAAGGAAAAGTGGTAGCCTTTATTTTATGTGTGTCCCTGTTTTTCCCCAGCAATGCCGTATGTCACTGCGGGGACTGAGGAAATCAGCAAATAATATAACCAATGTGTAAACTTATAGCAACTAAAGGGGGAGGTGGGCAATGACGTTCATCCGTAAGGACATAATTTAGCCGCGAATCAAAACACACACATAAGGAAGAAACACCAAGACAGGGGTGGCTGCTCTTCCTCTCTTAGTGTTCCTCCCTTTTGCGTGTCTTTTAGTTCGCGGCTAAATTATCTTTTTAAGTGAGTATCAACCAGGTCAGCAAACAGTTTTGTCAAGAAATCCATTATGCAGGGAGCAGATTGCACTGCAGATGAACCATTGCTCAACATTTGCCGTTGCATACTCTGCTTACAAGCGAAGACTTCGTTCTTTCGTCGAATAGGTTGCAGAGCACAATTGTTTGTCCTTTTTTCTATTCTTTTTTGTCGCCGACTGAATAGTTTCGATTGTATTGTCGAATGCGGGTACTGCCAGGCAGGCACCTGTGCACACACACAGACGTTTTGCGACAGCTGTGTCACGCTAGCTCTAGCAGCTTTAAGATAGCTCTTTACAGAGCACTCAAATTTTTCTATTTTTTTTTTGCTTTGTTTTCATTTAATTCAGTCAGAACAATCTGATCGGCTAGCTAAATTTTCAGTACGGTTCTTATGTATCTACTCCTTCTACTATGAAGGTATGCATGTTTTATGCCCAGTACAGGCATTTCTTGCACCAAAAATGACAGGTACATACCTGCCTATTCATTGTAGGAAACAGATGTGTAGTGTATAACATCTGTATACGTCCTCAACGTGTTTACTGCCCTTTATTTCGTATTTCACGAGAAAACATTTAGTACCAGTATAAAAATTACACGCGTGTGCCACGCAAACGAACGCCGTGAACACCCATTCGAACTCCGCCCCAAAATTAGGTTACCGGAGCAAGCGATGGACAATCCCTCTTTTTTTTTCTATATAACTGTAGTCACTTATTAAATACACAGCACCATTCTCTAAAGCTCACAAATTTTGTGAAATACACATTCACCGGAGCCAGCGACATCTAACGTGCTAGAAAACGCTTTGGACGGCGAACAAGACACGGTGAATGTCGTGGTGACGTGATGTGACAACTCGCGCAGAGTTTGATAAACGCTCCGGCAGGTAATTTCATACAGCACAGAGACGTGCACAATGCAAGCCGTACGTATATGCACCAATATTTCTTCCTAGCTTCCATAGTATGGAAGTGTCGATGCACGTTTGAACTGGAAAAAAAAAGAAGGAAAAAAGAAAGACACCATAGCCGCATGGCGCCTCATGTACGGCACATGCCGTTCCGGCATCGTATGAGCTCGAACGCCGTCTCGTGCCACCAGTAGGTCATGAAGAGCACCAGAACGTGCCATATCTGGTGGCTCGCCCCGACGTAGTCGCAGCGGCCCGGCAAGAACCGCTCCGGGAAGCGTCCCGCCAGGACGAGGTACGCGACGGCCGCGTAGACGAAGATGAGCGCCACTCGTGGCAGCACCGACCACATCCAGGGCGGGGCCAGGTAGAGCCAGTGGAACGTTGGTACCAGGCCGAAAGCGGCCAGGCTGCAGAGGACCAGGGCGTTGTCGCGGTCTTTCCTGGCGACGACGACGGCTAGGAGAAGAGCCTCCACGCTCACGTACAGGCACATGAAGAAGGCGTGCTCCCGGAAGGCCATCACGACACCCGACGCGACTGTCGAGCTTAGACCGAGGCCGACGCCCGCCAGGTCGTACTGCAGCAGCCTGCTGTAGGCCTCCTTGGAGTGGCAGTTGAACGTGTGGTACAGCACGGACAGAGTCAGGGTGGTCATGTACGCGCACACGACCGGCCACCACGATGACCGAGTCGGCGAACGTCGCCTTGACGTCGGGGAGCCGGTACCGTACGTCTCGCACGAGCACGCCGCCGAAGAAGAGGATCCCGACCAGGTGAGTCCAGATGTTGAGCGTCTCGTTGTTCCACTGGAACACGCTTCGCAGGCACTGCCGTGGGGTGTAGAGGACCCGGTAGCCACGGCGGATGAACGGGTTGTGGCGCAGGAAAGCCGGTGCACCTTCGAATCGCGTTAGCTTAAGTGGCATCTCCCGCGGCTTGCACGGGAGTGGCGGCGGTGGCGGCGGCAACGGCGCGTAATCGATGCTCGCGTCGTTCGTAGCCATAGTGTTCGCGGCCCGCCGCACCGGTCGAGAAGGAAATGAAATGGGGGAGGGGTGGTGATGTCGATGGTCATCTGGTTATACGCATTGAATTAGTGTTCAATGCGTGGCTGAGGCAGAACAATAGTCTAAAAGGAAAAAAAAGGAAATAGCAGAAAAAAACCTACAACAAACACCAAACAAAGAAATGTGCTCACGTTGTTGTATGAATTATTTCGGTACGTCACTTCTCAGAGTGCTGCCGAGAAGAAAGGAGGTGCTGCTGATGATGGGGATGGCCAGAAAAAGCATAAAGACATATTTATGAGAAAAAAGAAACTCTTAACTCATCCGGAGTGGCGTACAATCGACGCATATATTAAGACAACTCATACAAGAAGGCTATATCAAGCTATGAAAGAAAAAGAAAAAAAGCTGCGGCTTAAGTTTGAAAAAGAGGGCGATGGTAGTTGCATGCTTGCACCCTAATACTGTTTCCTACTTACTATCGAATATTGGTGAAGAAGCCGGTGGTTTGTGTAAATGTAAACGTTAAGCGACCAAAGGCAGGAGAAAAGGATATTTCATATTTTAACAATATAACGTGGTAATTTTTCTCATGCTGGTGTTTATAAGGAAATATTTTTTCTCACCTACTATTACGAAGCGCCGCTACCGACATTCACCTCGTGAGATTTACTATTTCATCCCGATTTCGTAAATCATGTTTGTATTTATTTTAGTTTTCCTCCTACACTATTATGCCGTCCGCAAATGCAGTTATGATGCAGCATACGCAGTTTTTTTTTTTCGATTTTTCAGTTTGAAGCTAACTTCCGCCAGAAAATTATGATGACCACTCGAAAAAAAAAACAGTGAAATGCAAGCACGAGGCTTGCGTAGCAGACACGGGGATGTAGAGGCGCCTGGTGCAGAGGACTGTAAGCAGCGGTTTTCAATCAATCCTGGCCTCCAAGAGTGCGCCATCCCGCCCAAACGAGGCACGCCGCAATTTTGGAGCCTATAGATCGATAGTATTCGCGTGTCGCTAGCGTTCACCAGACGCCGCAAGCTGTCTCGATTCCGTTCAGGTCGCAAAATAGACCGGCTTCCGAACTTAAGACACTGTACTGTCTGCTCCCCAGCTCTGAGTTATTTCAAAGACCAACTTCGTTACACCGGAAAATAACACTTGCCTTGTTGACAACGTGGTGATGGAACTGCATTACGAGGCCTGGGGTGCGACCTCACCGGTAACCACCGCCGGGAACGCACTCCCTCACCAGAGAAGGACTGGCCGCCCTGGTGCAGTATCTGGCCTCTACCTCCCACATGCATACGTCAAATAACTCACGGCCCTCAGTCCCCAGCAGCTGCGAAGCAACTGACCACGGCGGCGGTCAGATCTGCAACGCAGCAGAGGGTGCTAAGAATCTCTGGATCCGGACAGGCCGCCATTGTAACCTGAACTTGGCAACGTTTAACGCTAGAACCTTATCTAGTGAGGGAACTCTAGCTGTACTATAGGAGCTAGAGGGTGTTAAATGGGATATAATAGGGCTTAGTGAGGTCAGGAGGACAGATGAGGCCTATACTGTGCTACAGAATGGGCATGTCCTTTGCTATTGGGGCTTGGCTGACAGAAGAGAACTGGGAGTGGGCTTCCTAATTCACAGAAACATAGCTGGCAACATAGAGGAATACTATAGCATTAATGAAAGGGTGGTAGGTATCGTAATTAAACTGAATAGGAGATAAAAGATGAAGGTGGTACAGGCTTACGCGCCTACATTCAGCCATGATGATGCTTCAGTTGAAAGCTTCTATGAAGACGTGGAATCGGCAATGAGTAAGGTAAAAACACAGTACACAATACTGATGGGAGACTTTAATTCAAAGGTAGGAAAGAAGCAGGCTGGAGACCCGGCAGTAGGAGATTATGGCATTGGTACTAGAAACGCCAGAGGAGAGCTACTAGTAGAATTCGCAGAACGCAATAATTTACGGATTTTAAATACCTTCTACCGAAAATGAGGAAACCGCAAGTGGACATGGAGGAGCCCTAATGGCGAAAATAAGAACGAAATAGACTTTACATTGAGTGCACACCCAGGCATTGTGCAGGATGTGGAAGTGGTTGGCAAGGTACGATGCAGTGACCTTAGAATGGTACGGTCCCGAATTCGCCTAGATTTGAGGAAGGAACGACAGAGACTGATACGCAAGAAGCCAATCAATGAGCTAGCACTGAGAGGGAAAGTACAGGAATTCAGAGTCTCACTTCAGAACAGGTACTCGGCTCTTAGTGAGGAAACCAACCTTAGCATAGATACAATGAATGATAATCTGACGATTATCATTACGGAGTGTGCAGTGGAAGTTGGAGACAGGGTAGTTAGACAGGACACTGGCAAGCTTTCCCAGGAAACGAAGAATCTCATTAAGAAGCGTCAAATCATGAAAGTCTCAAGTACAACAGACAAAATGGAACTGGCAGAGCTTTCGAAGTTGATTAACAGGCGTAAGGTATCCGATGTAAGAAGGTATAACATGGAGAGAATTGAACACGCTCTGAAAAACGGAGAAAGTGCCAAAGCAGTGAAGAGGAAACTTGCGTTAGGCAAAAATCGGATGTATGCACTAAGGAACAAAGAAGGCAAAATAACTACCAATAAGGATAGGATAGTTAAAATAGCGGAAAAGTTTTACAGAGATCTGTACAGTAGCCGAGACAACCACGACCTTGATACTATAAGAACTAGCAGTAACCCAGATGACACCCCACCAGTAATGATAGAAGAAGTCAGAAAAGCTTTGGAGAGCATGCAAAGAGGCAAAGCTGCTGGTGAGGATCAGGTAACATCACATCTGCTGAAAGATGGAGGACAGAGTGTGTTAGAAAAACTAGCCACTCTGTTTACGAAGTGTCTCCTGACGGGAAGAGTACCAGAGTCTTGGAAGAACGCTAACATCATCTTGATACATAAGAAAGGAGATGACAAGGACTTGAAGAATTACAGGCCGATTAGCTTGCTCTCTGTAGTATACAAGCTATTTACAAAGGTAATTGCTAACAGAGTAAAGAAAACATTAGAATTCAATCAACCAAAGAAACAAGCAGGATTTCGAACAGGCTACTCAACAATCGACCACATTCATACTATCAATCAGGTAATAGAGAAATGCTCAGAGTATAACCAACCACTATACATAGCCTTCATAGATTACGAGAAGGCGTTTGATTCAGTAGAAATATCAGCCGTCATGCAGACACTGCGGAATCAAGGCGTCGATAAAGCATATATAAACATCCTGGAAGAAATCTACAGGGGATCAACTGCTACCATAGTGCTTCATTAAGAAAGCAACAGAATACCAATCAAGAAGGGTGTAAGGCAGGGGGACACAATCTCCCCAATGCTATTTACCGCGTGCTTACAGGAGGTTTTCAGAAGCCTAGAATGGGAACAGTTAGGGATAAGAGTTAATGGAGAGTACCTTAGTAACCTGCGCTTCGCCGATGACATTGCATTGCTGAGTAACTCAGGGGACGAATTGCAACTCATGATTACGGAGTTAGACAAGGAGAGCAGAAAGGTGGGTCTTAAAATGAATCAGCAGAAAAAGAAAGTAATGTACAACAACCTCGGAAAAGAGCAGCGCTTCGAGATAGGTAATAGTGCACTTCAAGGTGTAAAAGACTATGTCTACTTAGGGAAGGTAATAACTGCGGAGCCGAACCACGAGATTGAAGTGACTAGAAGAATAAGAATGGGGTGGAGCACATTTGGCCAGCACACTCAAATATTGACAGGTAGATTGCCACTATCCCTCAAGAGGAAGGTATATAACAGCTGTATCTTGCCGGTACTTAGCTACGGAGCAGAAACCTAGAGACTTACAAAGAAGGTTCAGCTTAAATTGAGGACGACGCAGCGAGCAATGGAAAGAAAAATGACCTCGTGATGACGCCACTGTATGACATCATCATGACGACACAAATCGACAAAGCATGTGAAGTCATCTGGACGCCACATAACGTGGCCTCAAGTGATGGTGTCATCATATGGCATCCTCACTAGGTCAATGGCGGACCGATCACCGAGCGGTGCATGACTTGTAGAGCTGTAAAGAGCTCGGTGTTACCTTCGATTTTTCAGGCATTGAGAAAACCATGTTAGGAGCAGAAGTATGTAGGAGGGGGGGGGGAGAGAAGTTGAATATAGATCGACTGAAGAGAAAAGGAAGGCCTTCGTCTTCGAGTCATCTCGGGTGATAGCTTAAGAGACTGTGTGAAGCTTTAAAACCATGTTTATTTGTCCCAATGGCCACTAACGTTTTACAGAATTACACAGACACGTGCATCACCAGTCCCACAATGCGAACTTACTACAGCGTGAATAGAAACACCAACCCAGCACTAATGGCACTCCGCGTCAGTGTCATCCACCCGAACGCATCCGGTGCATTTGCCCCGAAACATTGTTACCATACAGTGCTCCGGACATGGTAAGCAAGTACTGTGGTCTCCGCTAGCGTCACCGGCTGTGCCTTCCTTGACTTCAGTAGCTGCTTCGGCTTTGGATTGTGCCTTGTCTTCGGTCCTTGAATCGGGTGACGTTTTATTGACGGTCGCGTTCTCAGTCACTGTGCCCTTTGTGGTCGTTTTGTTAGTATCCTTGTCGGAAGGTGTGCTACCCGGCTCGGCTTTAGGTTTCGAAGCGGAATTGTTGCTTTCGGTGCCGTTGCAGGAGCAGCGTCCGCACTTGCTGCCATCGTCTTTCACGACGACGCAGTTGGCGCCTTGTTTCTTGCAGTCGAGTTTTGGACAGTCCTTGCTGTCGTCAGCTTTGAAAGAGAGACAGGGGAAATAGAGTGTCTTAGTGCCCGTCATCAGTCAGTTCTTTCAGCTTTTATAAAAACTAGCGGCAGCTCGTGATGAGAAAGGTAGCGGCAATTT